GATTGAGATGCATAATTTTTATTAATATAACCAAAGTTAAGTTTTTAAGGTTTTGAGTGAGTTTATGTGCTAAAACAAACACAACTTGAATCTTCGAGAATGTTAGGGTTGAAAATAGCCAATCAGCAGCAAGCTTTGGTTGACCAAAATGCACATAGACTAAATCTGTGAGCCAATCAATGTTGTCATACTCTCTGACTATAAATAGGCATGAAAAACATTGAGAAATTTAATTTAGCTCTGGCTGCAGGCAAGGATGAAGGCCTTTGCTTTCACCAATACTGAGCAGTGGCATTGCATTATTGTGCTTCATGAAGAAGGTTACTCCTGTACATAAATACCCAAGAGAGTGAAATGCCATCACACCTCAGTGAGCAGAGTGGTTGAAAAATATCAAATAACTGGTTCATATGATGACAGGCTCTGCTCTGGGAGACCAAAAAAGTTGACAAAATGGCAAGATTGGACTCTGCAATGCATTTCGATGGCTGACAGGAAGCTCACCTCACCTCAGATTACAAGAATTTGGGGTGAAACATGTGATGTAAAAGTGTGCAAAAGCACAGTGCGTTGCAGACTGCTTGCCAAAGGGTTCAAAGGCTGCAGGGCTCAAAGTAAACCTTTGCTCACAGATGCTCAATGCTCTCGGCGATGTGCGTGGGCCAAGAAGCATGCCAAGTGAACCAACGAACAGTGGGCCAAGGTCATCTTCAGTGATGAGAGCAATTTCTACTTGACTGGGAATCAGTGCAATAAGTATGTCATAGATTTCCAGCTGAAGAATTTAGGCCATGCTGCCTGAATCTATCTGTGATGCATCCATTGCACATGATGATCTGGGGCTGTATCACTGCTTCTGGTATTGGTCGGATACAAATCATGCAGGGAATCATGAATTCCAACCAATATGCTTCCTTCAGCTCAGCAACTTATAGGGAAGGACTTTTACTTCCAAGATGACAACTCTCCTTGTCATCAAGCCAAGTCCTTCCAGCAGTGGATGAAGAAGCATGATGTTTGACCTGGATTGGCCAGCTCAGAGCCCAGATTTGAACCCAATTGAGAACTTGTGGGCCAAGATTGATTACAAAATAAGCAAGAAACTTCCAAAGACCAATCAGGAGCTGATTGAATCCATTATTGCAGCCTGGCACCACATTGTCACCAAAGATCGTGCAAAGGCTATGCCGAAGTGATAAGCTATAAGGGCTGGGCAATTTCATATTAGTAACTATGTTTGGTTACCTAAACAGTCCTTTTCAGGGCCACAAACAATAAAAATGTTAACAAAACACTAGCATTGGCCTTAGTAATTGCAACATGTATGCCACTGGGTATGCATCCGTTAATTTCTTTTCATAGTTATTTTAAGCATGCATTGTAAGCGTGCAAGAAAATTCACAATCCCCATCCAAACAGCACCAAATTGCAAAAAGCTTATGCTTTTCACTTAAAACCCACCAGTATTTATTCAAATATAACAAAATNTGTGGTTGTTGGCCATTTTAAATGTCTGTCTTGTATTTGTATGTTCCCCTCCCGTTTGAGTTGTTTGCCGCCCTGAGTCCCTTTAGGGAATAGGGTGGCATATAAATAAAATAAAACTCGAAACTCAAAACTCCAGAAGCTATCCAACAGTTAAATATCTTCGTTGTCAGTTCTAAGGCTGGTATTCTACTTGACATTAGTTTGATCTTCTTTATATTTATTTTTAGTTCCACTTTTCACTGTATTGCTTAATGTTTATTACTGTAGTTTAAAAATAATTTTCAGCTATCAGGGTAGTATCAACAGCATAGTACACCCGCACTTCACTTAATGACCCGGTTCCATTCCAATGATCAGTGAAATTCAAATGAAATGATTGATATATAAACACATGGCTGCAAGAGACAGTCAGAAACACAGAGACATACAGAGAGATATGCTGCAAAGATTTCTGGTTGCTATTTTTTCATTCAGATAAAAATTCTCTCATGCAGCTACACGGGTATTACTTTCACTCCAGTGTGGGCTGTTTTGGGGCACATGAATATGCACATTGGACAGAAAATGAATGTTTTACTTTGAACATTCACATTTGGAAATGGTCACTAACTACGGTAGCCATTAAACAAAGAGTGAGTGTACAGGTTATTGATGCTTTTTTTGTTCCAATTTTAAAACCATGCATCTTCTTCCATTCCAGCTTTCATTAATGTAGCCTAGTGGTTGAATAAATAAGGGTTGAGTATACAGCCTTGTTACATCTTTGCCAATCTGGAACCACTCTATTTTTGTCATGTTCTATCTGTGTTGTGAATTCCTGAACTGTATACTCATTGCATGACTATAGTGAGTTGTTGTGGGATTTTTCTGAACACATTCCCAGTTTGATGTCAGTGATACAATGGAAGGCCTTTCTATATCTGATGAAACACATTGTGACTTCATTTTGGTATTCTTTGGATTTCTCAATGATCTTGCATGCATCAGCACTGTCTTGCATTGCTCAGCTTTTCCTAAAACCAGCTTTATATTAGGCATCGTTTTTTTTTCTATGTACAGCTTTAATATATGTTGGATGAGCCTAATCTTTATTTTACTAGCAAGTGAAAGATATTGTATGATGGTTTGTACATCTTATTTTTAATATAAATAGATCTGTTGGCCACTGTGTCATTTGCTGGAATAGCTTACAGCTGTGTGAAAAAGTCCTGCATGCTTTCATTTCAGCTGTATTTACGTGTTTAATCAACTTTTCACTCATAGAAACCATGCAAAATTAGTACTTTGATGAAAATTTCTGTAGTCGGATTGAGATGCATAATTTTTATTAATATAACCAAAGTTAAGTTTTTAAGGTTTTGAGTGAGTTTATGTGCTAAAACACGTAAATACA